TATATAGGGATTTTATAATTAGTCAAATGAAGTAACAGCATATCTAACCTTATCATATATATAGTGGATATGATAATTAAATCTTTGTCAAACTTGTAAAAATAAATGAAATTGTTAATTCAATTTATTGAAACAATGAAATAAATTCGTAGTAAGATTTCACGGATTCCTGACGTATTTATTTGAAGCAGGACAAGTTCCAAGGGCCGAAAAAAACTCAACTCTCGCCTACGGAAGTCAAAGAAACGAGTACCTTCTAAAAGTAGTAATGACTAAATTTATCAAATTTATTGAGAGAGTGGTAAAGAAACTCCAACTCTCGCATAAAAAATTCAAAGATATGAGTACCTACTAAAAATAGCAAAGACTAAACCATTAAATAAATAAAAAAAAAGGCATTTCTGATAAGTGACAATGATACCTTTGAGCGGGGTGTAGCCTCTGTCCACGAGGCGGCTGTACTGAATATACGCAAGCAGCCCGCAGGCGCTGGTGGTCCAGAAGAGAACCTCCGGCAGCCCGAACCTCTCCGCAGCCTTCAGCGTGAAGCTCATCACCCCGTCTCCGACGATGCACGTCACCGGCGGCCCCCCGGAGGCGTTGAGCCCCGCCAGGAGGTCGCAGAGGGGCTCGAGGCACGTGGTGGTGGTGGAGACGCAGAGGGAGGGGATGTCCTGGGTGGCATCGGCGTCGGAAGGCGGCAGGCCGTCGGGGATGGAGGCGAAACGGAAGTCGGGGAGGCCGTCGAGGGCGTGGGGCCCGCGGGACTTGAGGAGGCGGCGGCGGTTGTAGTCGGTGTTGACGAAGGTGATGTGAAAGCCGGCGTGGTGGAGGAGCTTGGCCAGCTTGAGCATGGGGTTGATGTGGCCCTGGGCAGGGTACGGTATGCACACCGCGTGGGGTTTGCCTTTCTCCATTCTCAATATTGACCCCATTTTCTTTTTTTTTTTTTTTNNNTTTTTTTTCAATGAGTTACAGATTTAGAATGAATGAGGTGAGAGATCAGTATCATAATATATGTATATTTATAGAGCGAGTTGTTAATTTATAATAATTTAATTGATTAGGTGTGCGGAATAATATAATTTTGTATGATGAGTCGGCTTTGAATGTGGACTTTTGTGCAATATTGAATATTATAATAATGGGGACGAAAGTAAATAATTTTGTTGACGTGAAAGGAAATACAATTACCTGAGGAGTCGGTCGTCCGGGTTTTGTCAACATATTTATTTCGCCATGTGATGAAAATTAAAGGAATACTTCCACAACTTTCTGTAGTCAAAAGATTTTAGGTGTGATTTTTGGCCCGAACGGCCAAAAGCAATATGACGTAGAACAGCCATCATATATGACACTATCACTAGGTCTGGTTCAAGTAAGGGAAATGGAAGCGAAGAGAGGGATTTGAATGGAAGGGAGGTAAGGGAAGGAGTGGTGATATAAAATAACTTTACCTTGTTTCGAGAATTTTGTAGGAGGTGAGTGGAGGGAAAATAGTAAATTTTGTTTGGTTAGAAAAATAAAAGAGAAGAAAAATATTGTAAAAATGACAGTTATATCTTTCAAATTCCCCTACTTTGAGGGGAGAGTATTTTCTCTTGGAGGAGGGATTTGAAGGGAAAATCCTAACCCCTTCCTCTACAAAAAATTGAACCAAACAAGAAAAATAATAAAAAATTTCCTCACCTCCCTTCCCCTCCACTCCGTTCCCCCGAACCAAGCATGGTGTAAGGGACTAGTTTTTAATTTTTTTTTTAAATTTTTTTCATATTGTTATATTCTTTTCTCATATAAATTACTATATATATATATATATGTATATATATATATATTTACTAATATAAATATATTATTAAGTAAATCTAAAACAAGATTATGAATATATATAATTATTTCTTTTAACTATTTATAAATAATTTCAATTATGAATACAACACAATTTTCATTAAAATAAATTAACAAATATTTTTAATTACTTTTATTTCGTGATGTGTTATTTTTTATAGATATTCTTTTAACTTCATTTTAATATCAAATTATTATAAAATTACAAAAAAAAAAAAATATTCATCAATTAAATATAGTTAATATTTTTTATTCATCATATATTTTTAATAGATATCGGCATCCCAGACTGTTGGAGTATACTTTAAAAGCTCAGCTTTCAGCCTCTGACAATACCATTTTGAATGAGAATTCACGTTTTAATCAGGTACTTGTTTGCAATTAATTTATTTATGCGAACATTGTTCTTTTATTTTACATTCTAGATAATATAGTTCTGAGTCTGCAACAGTAAGAGCATATCATCGGTTCCTTGTAAAATATAAATGTTGGTTCACAGTCTAGACAAGAATTGAACTCCCTGGTCGTGAAAGACTGTACTGTGAATCTTGAAATTAGTTTATTATTTGTTGCGTATTCTTATCCTGTAAGACAATGTATGGGCATATGTAGTTGACACTTACTTATTTGATTTATCAAGGATGTGATTTATTCTAGAAGGTCAACATACCCGATATTTTGGTAAGTAATGTCGACTGCATGATGTGCCGCCGATATTGTTTAAGGTCACTGTATCCCGGGAAAGTCCTAGCTGATGACGTCCTCGAAGTGAGCTCAAGAAGGATCCTTACGTCAAATCTTATAGGCATATTGAGTACCGACATAATGATAACGAATTGAGCGGTACTAGTTTCGAACATAAAAGTTGATTAATTAAATTGTTAGTAATTAAATTTATCTTAAATACAATGATATAAATCGAGAAATAAATAGGGAAACAAATTAATTATAATTTGGAGTTAACTTGGGAGTGAAATAATATTTCTCTAGTGGAATGATTTATTATTCGAGCATCGAGCGGAGTGGGCTTGGCCCACAATAGGCTCATGCGTGGGAAGTCATATTTAACACCTTTTTAGGGTCTCTACTGTAGCCCTATAAATACACCAAGTATCAAGACTCCAAACATAAGAGAACGAGAGATACACGATCAGTTCATTCTCTCCCAAAAAATATCCGATCAACACTTCAAGTTCTTGAGAGTTTGTTAGTTTTGAGAGCTTCGTTCAATTGCTCTACATTCTTCTAAAGGTGTTTGTGTAATACAGTAGAAGATATTTCAGTCTTTTATTCGTATACTGCCATATATATATATTTTCAACTCTGTAAAATATTTTTAATTTACAAGGTTATCCGTTCTTCATAAAAAATCGAGGATTATGACTACCGGTAGCTGGAGATCATCATTTAGCATCACTCGCGCTCAGCCGGTCCTCAGTCATGCCCAGCCGCAGCTTGGCCTTTCTCAACCACACAGAAACAACCTCAGCCGCGCAGACTCGCACTTGTGCATCCTGTTCGCGCACAGCTCGTGCGCTGTCTCTGCGTAACATGCTACATTCTCGTGCATTTCGTATCGGTGTTCTAACGCGACTTGTATTCTCGTCTGGAGACCCACGTTCTTGTCACGTGACCCGAAGTGCCCGAGCGTGATCTGCAGAGAGATCCGTTCGCGCTACATGAGTAAAGTGGAGTTAACCATGACCATTGGATCACGACTGATATCAACAGTCACAATCTAGAGGTGTTAAGGTGAAAGGACGGATCGCGTACAACCATTGGATCACATCAAGATCAAAGGCACAAGAATGGAGGCTAAGTGAAGAGGCAACTGGAAATGATCCGTTGGATTAAAGGATAACCAAAAAGTTATGATTAATAAAGCATTAATTAGGTGCAGAGAACGAGACAACATGATTTACAAAAAGGTGATGTCAGCCTGGCGTTTGGGATTGATGGATGTGACAGGTTGACAGGTTTCAAAATTCAAATGATGGACCGAAAAATGTAGAAAAAGAATCTAGCTGGTCGAAGTGATGGTACAGTCAAATTGAACACTCGTGGGTGGACAAGTCGAAAAAACCTAAAGCTAGAAATGCATCAATTGGAACTAAGGACAAATATACTCTTAGATCAAGTTATTTTAACTCGACCAGAGTAGGGGAAGGGGACTAAATGATATTGAATATATACTGGACCCTGGTGGAATAAACCCAATTAATAGTTTGACCAGACAAAGAGAGCCAACTGGTCGAGCAGGATAGCAAGAAGGTCGACAGTGGTCGAACATTACTAGCATAGAACCAAAACTCTTTGGGTAGAAGACAACACCAGTGGTATAGAAAGATAGCAACATGTCGAGCTAAACAAATCGATTGGCCTGTTGGAAACTTGACTAATAGGTATTGTTGGTCATACGATCGACCAAAAAAGACAACACTTGGTCTCATAGCAGGTAGCATTCTTTCTCAACAAACACCGAGTTGGTCCCACCATTAGGTAGTCTAATAAGAAAGACTAAAGGATAAGAAGAAATCTTAAGGAGTTACGAGCCACATGGATAGGGTCATGTGGCTTGACAGAATTGGAAAGTTCGGACAGTTCGGGCAACTTAGCCTGCACTGTCGGGCAGCTCGGGCAATTTGGGTAGTCCATCCAGGCAGTCTTGGGCAACAAGGTATCACATCATTATGTATGGAAGTGTGGTATGGCTATTATTACATTACATTCTCTATTATTCCACACACCATTTCAGTACTTCATGTTCTACAAGTGCTCATTTAAGCATCATATGCTCTTCACTGGAGAATTCCTCCGGTGTGACAGTTTTTGTAGGTCCGCAGACGTTATACCGGTGAGGAAGCTTGAGTCAGGGCGTTTCTAGTCGGTCGAAGGTCTTTTGCGTACCAGAGTAGTGCGGGTTGAAGTACATGCAATCTTCCAAAAACGTACAAAATTTATGTCTTATTATTGTTGGATATGTCTGTACATACTTGTTTTTTTTTTTTTTTTTTNNNTTTTTTTTTTTTTTTTTGGAGAAAGAACAACAAGAACAAAGAATGATAACCAAAGACTCGATCAAATCACAAAAATAAAACCACGAACACGATCTTTAAACAAACTCGAACACAAAAATCAAATAAAATCATCAAATTCAAGGAACATAAAAAGATCTTTGTCAGACTATATCGCAATCATTAATGCTCATGATTTTCGACAAACGTGTCCAAGAACAATGACTTTTATCTTTGTATCGTGGCATTTCAAATGCACAAGATTTCTGAAAACTCATTTTGCTTGGAACTCTAAAACAAAATGATAGAAACAATAATGAACACAAGATGAAGATATTATTTCTTATGTTCTATCTCAATTTTTAATTTTTAAGTGAAGTTCTCTAGTGCTATACACATTCACATCATATGGGTATTTGTAGATGTTCTTGAACATCTAGAGGGGATTTATGGCATCAAAAGACACCTCCTGGTACATGGTCGGTCGTTAAAAAATGAGTACGAACCTTTTCAGCATGAGTATGTGCGTCCGTGTCGCGCGCTTGTCGCGCCCAACTGGTGGGCTGATCCAGATGTCGCTCATGGCTATTTTCATGCATGCGACAAGGTCTAGCGTGCGTCGCATTGGGAGCACGCAAGCGTTCGTTCGAACTAGAAATTGTATTACGTGCTTTTCCTACTCATACGAACACTTTTATAATTCTAGTATGCATACTGTTTGATTATAACTTGTTTGACTTCTCCGGAAAAACAAGTTTTTTGGTTCTTTATCTGCAAGTCGTTTTCAATTTGGTCCCGTAAATGGACTATTTTTAGAAATAGTCCCTTAACTGAAAAAAAAAATAATTTTTTGGTCCTCTGACCGTCTATATCAAGTCATTGTGACCGGCTGAGCTACGTGGAAATTCGTCCAATTTTTTTTTTTTTTTTTTTTTTTTTTTTTTTTTTTGTGCTGAGTTGTAATGTCACGTGGCGCTTATGTGGAATAGTTGCAAAAAATGTGCTAAGAAGGGGATTCGAACCCAAGTCCAATAGGGCATAAAAGGAGCTCATAAACCACTTGAGCTAGCACCCATTATGTTAATTATTTTACTTCAATTATATATCTACCAACATAGTTTTTATCAAATACTTATACATTATTCAATTAGTACTACTTTTAATAATAAAAAATCATGCATATATTATTAAATTAATTTAATTATATTAATATATTTAATAAATATTTACTAATGAGTAAATATTATAAATAAATTATTAAATATATAATAAATAATTAAATATATTAAATAATATAATATTATGTACTTTTAAAAATATAACATTTTATAATAATATTTATTTATTAAAATAATAAATAATAAATAAATACTAAATTTAGTAAATAATAAAAATTACAATAAATCTATAATTAAATAAAGCGTATAAATAAAATCATATAAAATAATTTTTATGTATCAGTTTTAATTATTTTTAGTTCATAATTAATATATTATATTATTTATTAGTTTATTTAATATATGTATTTTACTATATATTTATTTATTCATTATATTATTTAAAGATTTTTTGGTAAATATTATTACTTATTATATTATTTAGTATATTTATTTATTATATTATTTAATACATTTATTTATTATGTTATTTGATAGATGTATTTATTTAGTAATTTTTTATTCCTTATATTTTTTAATATATTTATTTATTTGATCAATATTTATTTAATACACAAAACAAATAATTATATTATTTAATAAATTATTTCATAAATTTTATTATTTAGTAAATATTTTATAATATATATAAAATTTAATCATATTATTTATTATATTTATTCGATAAATATTATATTATTTAATTTACGTATTTATTTAGTAAATGATTATTTATTTATTATATTATTTAATATATTTATTTATTTGGTAAATATTTATTTAATATTCAAATAAAATTTAATTAAGTACGCTAAATATTTATTTAGTAAATAGTTAAATACTATTTATTTATTAAATATTTAACTAATATATAGTTATTTAATATCAACATCCTTCAATATATTTATTTAATATATATATATATAATATATATATTTAAAAATGATGAATAAAATTATAATATATTATTTATTATAATATTTAATATTTTTTTATTTAGTAAAATTATATTTATTACATAAAAAAGTTTATTAAAATCTAAAAGTAGTACAAATTGAATAATATATAAGTATTTGATAAAAACTATGTTGGTAGATATATAATTGAAGTTAAATAATTAACATAATGGGTGCTAGCTCAAGTGGTTCATGAGCTCCTTTTATGCCCCATTGGACCTGGATTCGACCAAAAAACTATTTTTTTTTTCAGTTAGGGGACTATTTCCAAAAACAGTCCATTTACGGGACCAAATTGAAAACGGCCTGCAGATAAAGGACTAAAAAACCTTTTTTTCCGACTTCTCCAAACATTTGTCAATCTTAGAACGCTCGCGAGTCCAACAATTTTTTATTTATTCAAATTGAAATTTTCTCACATATTTTCAACTTTATAATTAATGTTTCATTCACATAAAATAGTTTTGAAATTTTATTCTACGTCTTCCACTTACGAAATGGAGATTGCTACAATTACAAGAGATTATTACTAGCAATACATTTTGATAATGTAACTAATTTTATTTTTTTTTTAAATAAATCTTTCCATCACAACTTGTTACTCCAAAAGCACATTCTTGAGCAACTTATCAAAGTTCAAGTAGGAAGAGCCCCCAACTCTAGTCGCTTCCTCGGCTTTTTTCTTCCATTCCAATGCCTTCTCCTTCATATTCTTTCCCTTTTCACTCCCCATCATTTCCCTCACCAAAACTTCCACCTCATCCTTTGTTACATTATCAATCTCCATCCCGATTCCCCACTCCACGCAGCTAAACCGACAGTTTGTTTGTTGTTCGGCAAAGAAAGGCCAACACACCATAGGGACCCCACCTACTATACTCTCTAACGTTGAATTCCACCCACTGTGCGTCAAAAACCCTCCAACAGCAGGGTGGCTCAGCACTTGCGCCTGAGGGCACCAACTTACCATCATTCCCCTATCATTTGTCTCGGTCAGAAAGTCTGGCGGGAGCATAGCAGAGTCGCCTGCCACAATATCGGGTCGTACGATCCATAGAAATGGGTATTTGCTATTCGCAAGGCCCCACGCAAATTCCGTCAGCTGTTGAGTCGTCATGACAGTGATGCTTCCAAAGTTGACGTACACGACTGATTTCGGCTCTTTTGTGTCGAGCCATTGGATACAGTTAGAGTCCTCCTTCCATAGGCTCGATTTCATGAAGTCGAGTTGTTTATCTTCCATGAGGTAGAGGGGCCCTATTGGGAGCACACACTGGTACATGGAGGAGACAGTGTCTAGGATGTCTTTCTCTAGTGCATCGAACGTGTTGAGGATAAGGGCTTTAGCTCTAGGGAGTGCGTCAATTTCTTGGATAAAGAAGTTGAGCATGATGTCCTCTGGGTCTGTGGTTCGGATAAAGGACGGGATGTCTCTCAGTTTGATGCCTTCCACACCAGGGACCCAGTCGAGGGTTGTTTCAAGATAGCCATTCGTTACTTGGCTCATGTCTGCATATGAAATTGTAAGTAAATAAATAAAAGGGAAAAAATATGTAAGTTATAATATGAATCCATTTAGCTCATATGTATAGCTTCAGCTCTGCAAGTTATATATATATTTCATGTGGAGTAATGGACAAGGCCTAATGGACCGCATAATAACAATTATACATAAAAGGTTTGCATATTTTGGCTTCCATTTAGGATGTGATAAAAGAAGTCTGTCAATACTCTAATTATGCGTGTGACATGAACAGTAAGAAAATAAGATATATGCATTCATAAGAGCTAGCTAGTACTGATAACGCCAAACGTGTTACATGTGATGACCAACTTGCTCGTCCGGCGGGACAGACTTCTCCGATGGATCGATATTAACGTTTGATTCAAGGACAAGTCAGATATATATTACACACACATAAAACGTGGACTACACAGACAATGAAAATCGAAAAAAATTGAAATTCATAATATTTAGTTACTCCTCGGCCGTTAGTCGGGGAATCAGGGGTGCGGTCCCACATTGTGAAGCGCAGTATAAGAAGGTGAGTCTAAGTGTATCACATTGAGTTTCCATTCCAAAATCAATTGATAAATGGAGGAGTAGCCTATTAGGCTTATTCATTTACTCTATTAAATCAACGTGGGACGACTCAGATATGATATTCCAACATAAATAGTAATCCATAATATTTAATTATCTCCTCGGCCATTAAAAAAATTTACAGTTGTTGGACTAAACTGATCACAGATAATTTAATAGATAAGATAATACGAAGGTATATATCAGAACTGTGTGATTAATCAAAAAAGAAAAACGTTGTTACAAAATTACCTTTGAGCGGGATAAACCCTTTCTCCACAAGGCGGCGGTACTGCATGTATCCAAGCAGCCCACAGGCGCTGGTGGTCCACAAGAGCACCTCGGGCAGCCCAAACCTCTCTGCGGCCTTCAGCGTGAAGCTCATCACCCCGTCTCCGACGATGCACGTCACCGGCGGCCCGTCGGTGGCGTTGAGTCCAGCCAGTAGGTCGCAGAAGGGCTCGAGGCACGTGGTGGTGGTGGAGACGCAGAGGGAGGGAATGTCCTGAGTGGCATCGGCGTCGGAAGGCGGTAGGCCGTCGGGGATGGAGGTGAACCTGAAGTCGGGGAGGCCGTCGAGGGCGTGGGGCCCGCGGGACCTGAGGAGACGGCGGTGGTTGTAGTCAGTGTTGACGAAGGTGATGTGGAAGCCGGCTTTGTGGAGGAGCTTGGCCAGCTTGAGCATGGGGTCGATGTGGCCCTGGGCAGGGTATGGTATGCAGACAGCGTGGGGTTTGCCTGTCTCCACTCTCGATATCGTCTCCATTTTTCTCTTTTTTATTGAAGTGTTGCAGGGCGTTAGAGATGTAGAATGGAGAAGATGAGAGATATATCTCACATATATATATAGAGCGGTTGTTAATTTATTTATAATAAATAATTTGTGGGTAATATTAAAGTGTGGTTAGTGTTTTTTCCACTTATTACTAAACAAGTTAGAAAAACAAAGGATCTTTTGTCCACTCTATTTATTCTAGTTGTACTTTTATCATTTATTTCTTTTGAGTTTAAGTTTACTAAACTATTTTATTTATTTATTATTTTTGGGGTGCTTTTCGTCCATTGAAGATACAGATGTCGCGTCTTTTCGACCTCACTTATAATTTTTGGAAAGGTAGATGGCTTAGTCGCTGATGCCATAGAATAGTCTCTCCACACTATGGTTCTGAAAATCAAACTGGTCATCGAACCTGTAAAACTACTGGTTCAATGGTTCACTGGTCGAAACACGATCGAACCGTTTTAATTGGTATATTTTTTGTTTTATTTATATGTATAATATATATTTATATATATTTTATTATTTATTTTATACTATATATCACATTGTGTAAATAAGAGTTCAATAATATATACAATCGAAAATGTTGAATAATGTTGTTAACTTTTTATTTTTTTATTTTAGTTTTATATTTAAAATTTTAATCTATATTTAATTTACAAAATAGAGCGAATAGAAACAACTCAATTTTCATTTTAAATCACATTTTATTTTTTTTTTTATTATCGATTAAAAAATAAAATAACGTGCATAACAAACAACAATAAAATAAATTGCTTATTTTTTTTAAAAAAAAAAATATTGAAAATAGATATAACCCAATAGATAATCCACTTCAAATAACAATACATATTTTTAATGACTACAATTTTACTTGTTAGGCCCAATTATTTAAGCAAGAAAACATATCCCACACAGGAAATACAAGTAAAAAACGTGATATTTAAACCACTTCACAATCTACCAAGTTCAAGTTCTTAAGCTTTAACCGGTGAACCATTCAATCCGGTCCTGGTTGTCCGGCTCAACCGCTTTTTGGACTGGTTCGAACGCCACCTGTTCTCCTGCATGGCCGTTTGAAGGCTCAAATCGGATCAGAATGAAGGCCGGTTCCCGGTCCAACCGGTTGAACAGACCGGTCCGGTCTGTTTTCAGAACAATGCTCGACACAAATAAAACAACATTTACGAGTACGAGAAGAGTTATATTTTCAGCAACAGAGACTTTATTAGCAATGTAAAGATGATAGATGCCATCGTTGAATCAGAACCAATCATTTATTGAGTTGTTTGTTCCTGTAATATGCAAATTGTTAGTTAACTGCCAGACTGTTAGGTTGTTAGTGTGCATTCTTAGTGCATGACTAGCACGTGATTAGTTAGCAAAGGATATTAAGCTGCTGAGATCTTTATCTATCTATCTATCTATCTGTCTCTCTCTCTCTCTCTCATGCATTGTATTATATAAATAATACCTTCACCTTGATGAATATACAACACACACATACACACATGCACACACACACACGCGCGCGCACACACACACACACACACACACACACACACTATGATTCATATTATCTTTACATTCTCTCTAAATGGTATCAAATCTAGGTAATTTTTTTTCTCCATGGCCGAGCTCCATGTCTCGTTGCCGGCGTCGCCCTTTCTTCTTCACCTTTCTCCACTTCCTCTTCATCTCGATCGATCTAATTTCTCGTACTAGAAACTTCAAATTCTCTCCACTGTCCGTGCGTATGGATTTGAGGATTACTTTCTTCAGCACTCATTTCCGAAAAATTTCTGTCTGTCGCCGATGGCTCTCCTTCCTCTGTTGTCAATCTGACATTTGTCAGTTGGATGCGCACTGGTCAACTGATCACCAGTTAGATGCTTGCCTCGACGTCATAACCCATGCTTGGTAATGTTACCAGATGTTCTTCGTCAACCGAGGTTTGGTATGTTAATCTTCAACTCTTTTATTCACAATCTAAAGCTCGTGTCCTACATCTGACGTTTCACCTTCAAACCCTAAATAAGGGTGACATATCTATTGATGACTACAATCTTAAGATGCAAGGTTTTGCGGATGAACTTCTTTCAGTTGGTCACACTATCTCTGATGATGAACTTTCTATGTATGTTCTTGGTGGATTGGGTGCGGATTATGAATCTGTTGTTGTTTATCTTACTTCTCAGGTTGAGTCAATCTCTTTGCCAGAAGTTCAGTTTTCATTGCAAACTCATTAGATGTGATTAGCTAACAATACTCCTTCATCTCCGGTTGTTTTTTCGGTTATATCTTCTTTAGTGCTTGAGCACGCCTTTTTCAGGTAACTTTGTGCAGTTTCGTGGTTGTGGTGGCTTTAACAGGGGATGAGGTCGGTCACATCGTGGCCGTGGTCGATTTTATAAGAACTCTGATATGGTTATCTGTCAGCTTTGTGGCAAATCTAACCATGTTACCTTGAAGTGTTATAAGAGGTTCGATATCAGTTATATAGGCCAGGATGTTACTCCTTCGTCTCCTCAAGTGCATCTTGGTAAATCTAATGCTTCTCCACCTCTCAGTGCTTCATCATCTATCTATGTTTCTGACCAAATTGGTACTTTGATGCTGGTGCAACGAATCACCTAACAACAAACCTTGAGAATCTGTCTATTCAAGCACATCCTTATCAAGGTAATGCTAAGTTTCTTGTTGGTAATGGATCTAGACTGTCTATATCTCATACTGGATCCCCACCTATTTCTGCAAACAATCATATACCTGTGATTTTGAATAATGTGCTTCTTGTACCACATATCACCAAGAATTTGTTATCAATATCTCAGTTAACCAAGGATAACAATATTATGATAGAATTTATTCTGATTTATGTCTTGGGAAGGACAAGACCGCATATCAGGTTCTACTGGAAGGAGTGCTTAGAGCTAGACTATATCAGCTAGATTTATCCAAGCATAGCTCTGTACTTCATCACATCACCCCTCCAGTTTCAACATCTTCTCATTACAGCTTTACAACTTATGTTCCCCCTAAAGCTCATGTTCTTAGCAGTGATGCTCTCTGTAGTTGGCATAGGAAGCTTGGTCACCCTTGCTTCAATGTGTTTAAAAGGGTAATGAACATTATGAATTTGTCCGTTCCATTTTCATTACTTTTATGTGATGCTTGTAAACTTGGGAAGCTTCACCAGTTGCATTTTGATTCACAATAGACTAAAACTACTTTTTTCCTTTGAACTTGTACACTCGGTTGTGTGGGGCCCTTCAAATGTGTTATCTGTTTATGGTTACAAATATCATATGCATGTCATTGATGTCTATACAAGGTATACTTGGTTTTTTTCCTTGAAGTCCAAATATGAGGTTGCACATACATTTCAGAGGTTTGTTAAGTTTGTTGCTACACAGTTTCAAACCTCTATAAGATGTTTGTAGTATGATTGGGGTGGTGAATATAGGTCATTTGTGCCTCTTCTTAATAATCTTGGTATCCACTTTAGGCATCTTTGTCCACACACTTACCAGCAAAATGGCAAGGCTGAGAGGAAGTACCTGTATATTGTTGAGATGGGTCTTTCTTTGTAGCTCAGGCTCATTTGCCTTTTAAATTTTATTGGCATGCTTTTTTTATAACCTGTTTACACCTTGAACAAGCTTCTTACACCTATTCTGAACCATGAATCTCCTTGTTGTATAAAATGCCTCACGATCTGAAGTTGCTTAAACCTTTTGGCTGTGCATGCTTCTCTTATCTCAGACCATACAATGTCCATAAATTTAAGTACATGAGCTCCAAATGGCTGTTTCTTGGTTACAGTCTTAATCACAAAGGTTAAATTTGTCTCAGTCCTCATGGAAGAGTTTACACAACCATCTCAGTAGTCTTCAATGAAAATGAGTTTCCTTATGATAAGTTTTTTGTTTCTTCTTCAAAATCATCTCTTGTTAGTTCCTCTTTATCCTCTCCATCTCTCTTACCTTCTGTTCCTCTTTATGTAAATTTACTTATTTCACCTTCACCAACTCCACCTTCTCATCAGCAGCAATCTTTGCCACATGAGCCCATGTCCTAGTCATTCTATGGTTTGCTAGATGTAAGACTGGTATCTTCGATTTTCCTCAATTTCCCAGTAAGCGTTCTCATCTTGAGGCTAAGTCTGCTGGAAGACAACTCGCGCAGTTACCTTATCGCACTTCCTCTCTAGCAGGGACGAGCCCACGCGAGGCTATATCTCATCTGATTGGTCTCCTGCCTTTCGAGGACACCCATCGATGGGCTTCCAATCACCAGGCCCAAGGTGAATATATGTCGCTCGTGCGTTGATTCAAGTATGGTCATCTATCATTTTCTACCTATGGTTTTTCCTACATCGGTATATTTTAATATGTGTTGTTTGTGTAGACGGTGGTTTCGGTCGCTCCCCTCCTCGAAGAAACTCTGAACAGCTCTGGTCGTCCTCTTCCAGTGATCGAGGGTGACAATAGACGGCTCGATACTGAAAACCAGCGTCTCAAGGCCGAGAATCAAGACCTGCTCAAGTCCCAGCACGAGTTGGCTGAGCAGATGAAGAAGGACAGCGAGGAAGTACGTCGCCTCAGACCATTCATTGAAGTTGATGGCCAATTTATTAAGTGAATTAATCCCTCATTATCTTCTTATTAATGGTAATAAGTATTATTCATTGAATCTCTCATCTTTTTTTTTAATCGCGACACTCATCTCTCTCTCTCAAACCCTCGCCCTTTCCCGATCAAAACCGCAACAACCTTCATCTTCCCATCATCACAATCAACATCGTTCATAGTCGCCATCACCATCACAAGCAGAAATCCACAGCACCACCATCATCGCCGCTACCCGGTCGTTTTTCCTCCTTGTCCGTCACCATCAATATCGCAGTAACCTGCAACTCCGGCCTGCTCACGCCTCCACCGCCGGCGCTGCTCCGCCATCTCGCAGGCTGTCCCCGCGAGGAG